CTTTGTCAGTTTGTCAGTTTTTTAAATATGGTATGAGATAAGGGTTTAGTTTCATTCTTCTGCATGTAGATATCCCGATTTTGAGAGATATCCTTTCTTCACTGTGTGCTCCTAACATCTCTGTCAATTTATCAATTAGCAGTAAAAGTGTAAATTTGTTTATGAGCTTTCTAATTTTTGCCATTGGTTTATATGTCTGTTTTTATACCAGTGTCATGATGCTGTAATTACTGTAGCTATGCAATGTATTTTGAAGTAAGGTATTACGATATGATACCTCTAACTTTGTTCATTTTGTTCAAGACTGCCTCGACCAATTTGGAGTCTCAGTGATTGTGTATAAATTTTAAGGTTTTTTTTTCTTATTTCTGTGAAGAATGCCATTGAAATTTTTATGAATACATGGATCACTCTGAGTATTATGGACATTTTAACAATATTAATCTTCTGATCCATGAATATAGGAGATTTTTCCATGTACTTGTGTCTATTTAATTTTTTCATCAACATTTTAGTTGTCAGTATACATGCTTTTTACCATCTCCATTAAATTTATTCCTAAGATTTTTTGTAGCTATTTTTAATAGGATTGCTTTCTCGATTTCTTTTTTTTTGTAGAGTTCACTGTTAGTGTATACAAATGCTACTGATTTTTATATGTTGATTTTACATCCTATGTCTTTACTGAATTCATTAACTACCTCCACAGCTTTTTGGTGTAATCTTTAAATTAGTTAGATATTCATATATACAAGAATGATTGTGTCACTAGGTATACTTTTCTATTACATAGGAAAAATATAAGGAATAATCAAGATATGCAATGACTATTTAAAGTTTTAAAAATTTGTTACAGTAAAAAATACATTGCCACAATCTCCTTAAAATATTTTAAAATTTTTTCTTGCTTCTGATACACTATTCAATCATTCTTGCCAATGTATTTTACTGTAGAAGGTTTTTTATTTAAACAGTCAACATATTTTTGATCACCACTTGTATACTTGATTTTCCTTTTTACTACTAAAAACTTACTGCTTAAAAGAATAAACAGAAGTCTTAAATTATTCCTAAAGCATATAAGAGTGATGATAATGAGGCTGAAAATGAGCTTTATTTAGTTAATGCTAATACTTATGTTTTCTACTAAACCCTAAATCACGGATTATGTTTTTCTTAGAAATTAATCCTTTTAAAAGCAATTTTACTATTGTACATATCCCACAGAATGCCAACTCTAATTAGATTGAAAAAACTGCACTCACAGAGTTATATCAAAGTGCTCACTGAATCTTTTCACATAAACCTAAGACTAAAATATATTAGAATTTCCTGCCATTAACAAATCATATTACTTCCCCAGGAAACAATGAAATACTGACAATCATATTAATCAGAGTCCATTGCAATCAAGTTCCTGAGACACAGACTATTCAGCATTGTAAGACACTTAGCTCTAATCATAATCAATCACTCAGGTCAACTAGGAACACAGATGCTTAAAAAAAGAGATTCCGTTGCATCTTGGACCTGTTCTCATCTGGCTTATTAAACTTCAGATCACTTACATTATGTTATGGAAGGAGTTCAGGATTCAGAATCAAAAGAGCTGAGCTTCAATTCAAACTAAACCATTTACTGATTATGTAACTTTGGCAAAGTCCTTTGAAACAAGCTTTTCTCATCACAAAGCAAAGGTAACACTAGCTGTCTCAGGTTGTTGCAAGGGTAGATGAAGTAATACACATAAACACTAGCAGGCTATTAAGCATTTCACATGTGTTATTTTTATAGATGTAAAAGTTAATTTAATTTTAAGATACCCAACAACACTGGAAATCCTATACACTAGTAAAAGTAATGGGAAATTAATACCAATACTAAATTTTTCCCTCTATAACACATACAATCTTGGTTTGAATATTTCTCCAACCATATTGCACACATTTACATAAGTATTTCTCACATTTGGTTATGTATATGCCTTTTTCAAAAGTCAGTTATTTCATTATAGGGCAAAAATGTATTTTTCACATAACCATGAATCCTAGCTAAGTGGCAACTACGTACAGCTCTTTGAGGGTACAGAAGATTTTGAAATAAGTTTGAAGGGAAATGCCAAATTCCACTTAGATCTTTTCCTAATAAGGAATGCAATTACTTAATCAAACTTCACTCATAAAAGATTTACATAGACCTGTTTCACAATCAGAATTTTCTGCAACTCAGCAGGTTTCAAAAATCCTGTTTGTTTTTTTCACTGATGCCCATTATTAACAGTAATGTTTTTGTTATAAACATAAAACTATATTCATAAACACAGCAGGTTTTTGTGTTGTGTCTTAAAATATATATTTACTAAACATTTTTATATTCACAAGATAGGTACATTAATAATAAAAAGTTGGAATAATACTATAATTAAAAATTTTAAGAAGGATTGGTAGTAGAGCAGTTGCCTAGCATGAACAAAGTCCTGACTTTGTTCTCTAGCACCACAGAACAAATGAACGCCTATAGGAAACTGTGGTACAAATTTTTCCATTATTATAAATACTTATTAATCTTTGTAATTCTAATGAGCCAATGGACAAAATTGACACTTTCTAATATTTCCTGATGATAATTGAAGAGAAATGGAGTAGTTCCCATTGCTACCTATGTTATTCATATAATCAATAAAATTTTCTTGAATACTTACTATGTACCAAGAACTGTTCTAAGTCCCAAAGAACAGTAGTGAGCAAGTGGGCTCCATTCTCATGGGGATTACATGCCAGTATATATGATAAACAAATACACACACATACACACACACACACACACACACACACACACACACACAATCTTCACAAATGATTTCTAAGAAGAAAACTAAAGCAAAGGCTACAGAGAGTGACCGAGCATGGAGATGCGGGTAAGTGCTTAGGTAGAAAGGTCAGAAGATGTTTCTGAGGAATGTATGTATCCCTAAGGTAGAATACCCAGGAAGAGAAAAAGCAAATGTTGTTTTACTTTCTAAGGCCCTGTGGTGAAAAAAAGCTGGAGTATTTGGAAAAATACACAGATTGGTATAGTTTAAGGGGAATGAAGGAAAATAATAGGAAATGAAGTCTTCAAATAGCTCTGTTATGGGAAACAATTAGAAAGTTTCTGAATAAGAAAACAATACACTAGGACTTATCTTTAAAGAATTACTCTGGTTGCTATGTGGAAAGTAAACTATAGGAGGTAAAGAGAGAAAATAAGGATATCAAGAACCCACTCAGATGAAATATTTAGGAATTCATCTAACAAAGGAAGCAAAAGACCTCTACATTGAAAACTACAGCACTCTGAAAAAAGAGACTGAAGAGGATATCAGAAAATGGGAAGACATCCCTTGCCTTTGGGTAGGAAGAACCAACATAACGAAAATGGCCATACTTTCAAAATTGCTATACAGATACAATGCAATCCCTATTGAAATCCCAACAGTACATTTCACAGAACTAGAGAAAATACAAAAATTCATTGGAACCATAAAAGACCAAGAATAGCAAAAGTCATTCTAGGCAACAGACACATGACAATCTCCAACTTGAAATTATACTACAAAGTCACTGTGATAAAAAACAGCATGACACTGGAAAAGAAACAGACCTGAGGATCAGTAGAATAGATTAGAAGATGCAGAAACAACTTCAGATGTACTCAGCTACCACACCTTTGACAAAGGAGCCAACTATCCTCAGTGGAGGAAAGATTACCTTTTCAAATTGTATTGGAAAAATTGAATTTCAACCTGCCAAAGATTAACACTAGACTGCTATCTTTCACCATACACTAAACTAAAATCAAAGTGGATTAAAGATCTAAATATTAAAACAGAAACGCTAAATTTGCTGGAAGATAAATTAGGTAGAACTCTCGAAGACATGGGCATAAGAAAAGATTTTATGAATAAATCCCCAGTAGCATGGGAACTAGCATAAAGAATCAACAACTGGGATCTCATCTTATTAAAAAGCTTCTGCACTGCAAAAGAAACTTCCAACAGAGCTGAGAGACAACTTATAGTGTGGGAAAAAAAATTTACCAGCTGTTCCTCAAAGGACTACTATCTAGAATATATAAAGAACTCAAAAAAAATCAGAGCCCCTTGCCGGGCATGGTGGCACACGACTGTAATCTCAGCACTCGGGAGGCTAAGGCAGGAGGTGAGTTCGAGACCTGGGCTACACTGTGAGTTCCAGGTCAGTCTCAGCTACATAGTGAGACCTCTCTCAAAAATACAAAACAAAACAAAAAAATCAGAGCCTTCCAAAAATAAAGACCTGATTCAAAAATGGGCATCTGAAATGAACAGACATTTCTCAGACAAACAAGTAAAAGCAGAAAATAAATATATGAAAAATTGTTCCACATCACTGGTCATTCTAGAGATGCAGATGAAAACAACACTGAGATTCCACCCCACCCTAGAAAGAATAGCTGCTATCAAGAATTCAACCAATAATAAATGCTTGCAGGGTTGTGGGGAGATAGAAACCCTTCTCTATTGTTGGTGCAAGTGCAGACTGGTGCACTATGGAAATCAATATGGAGATACCTCAGAGAACTAGGATTAGAGGTCCCATTTGACCTAGCTACCCCTCTGCTGGGTTTCTTTCCAAAAGGATTAAAAGAATCATACCACAGTGATAAATGTGCACCCATATTTAAAGGTTGAAATGGCAGGTGGTGAGAGAAGAATCGTGGGTGTCTCTTGGCCTGAATATTATTTAATGGTGCAGGCATCTACTGAGATAGCAAACACTTAGAAGAGTTGTTTTCCTGAAGTTATGTTTTGGATAAATTTGAACTAACTATATTGTAACTAAGTAAATTTATTTAAACACATGAATCCAGAACCATTAAATTGAACCAGCTCACCTAGAAGAGACTGTGATATCTTCTAGGCTCTATGATATCTACAAGTAGTGAAGAAGAGATAACAAAGAAGGCTAAACTGAGCTGACCTCAGGAATATAACTATATTGTTCTCTGCTCCGGATTTCTCTACCGAGTTGAAGACTCTGCAGCCAAGCAATCCAATCTCTGTGTTTTCCATGTTTCTATGAAAAATTCAAATGTAAGAAAATCAAATTATTTATATAAAGTTAAGCTACAGAATTAGCATACCATAACTTAAGTACCTAAGTCAGCTGATTTAGAAAACCATTCATCATAGAGAACACCTAAGGATTAAGTAGACCATAGTAGCAAGTATAGAATATGTGCATTTACTTCCAGAAAACTGGTAACTTAATAGCACGATTTCAAATGAACTTAAAGAACCATTTTACAATTTCCTGAAATACTAATACATGTTGGATGCTAAAAAAGTCATCTTTTATTTTTATTCTATCAAAAAATAATGCATCTTGGTCTGCGATCACCCGGCGGCGTGCGCGCGAGCTCCCGGCCTACGCGGGAGCTCCCGGCCTGCGCAATAGAATATGCATTTACTTCCAGAAAACTGGTAACTTAATAGCACGATTTCAAATGAACTTAAAGAACCATTTTACAATTTCCTGAAATACTAATACATGTTGGATGCTAAAAAAGTCATCTTTTATTTTTATTCTATCACAAAATAATGCATCTTGGTCTGCGATCACCCGGCGGCGTGCGCGCGAGCTCCCGGCCTACGCGGGAGCTCCCGGCCTGCGCGACAACAGACCCAGGAAGGACCCAAGGACCCCAGAGGGGGTTTTTTTCAGCTGCCTGCCTACCTGCCTGTCTGCGATCACCCGGCGGCGTGCGCGTGAGCTCCCGGCCTGCGCGACAACAGACCCAGGAAGGAAGGTAGCCGCGCGGGCGCCCTTGAAACACCCACACGACCCCCCCCCCCGTTCTCAAAACTCCTGATCGGGCCAGTCCTTAGACCAACTCTGCAGAGGCATAGGTTCCCATGAAGGGTAGTTTTCTGAGCTCCGAACTTTGATCATCTTTAAAGAAAGGGCAGGGGAAACCTGTAATAGAACGGAGTGGAGTTCAACCCTGAGGGTAAGGAAACTAAAGTTAGGCTTTGTAGATTGTGTTCAGTCTCAGTCGTGAGGAACAGCCATTGGCTAGCTATAACCAGGGGATTGGGTTCCGCATATGACTGTGCATGTGGTATAATATGAGATCAGAGATAGCCTGAAAGAGGACCTTCAAATTCTTTTTCTTTCCCTCTCTCTTGTCTCTTTTTTCCTCTTTCCACCCTAAAATTTCTTTCTTTTTTCTGTCCTGTCTCTCCAACTCAGTCTCTTGCTCCACCATAGTGTCCCTCATCTCCCTTTTTATTCCAGTTCCTGAAGAACTCAGACTTCTTTTTTTATTTTTTGTTTTTAGGACGGGTTTCTCTTTATGTTCTTTTCTCCAGTCATTTTACCTCACTCATGGCTCTGTACCTTCAAGGGAAGGCAAGCGCCTGTTACTGTTAAGGGGATATATTCCTGTCCTTATTCCTGCACTCTCTCTATCCCCCCTGAACTTAATAGCTTTGTAAAGATAGTAAGGTAATTCTACAACCTCTGGATTCACTTCAAACCTGCTCTAATTCTTTCACTTATCTAATCCTCTTGTTCTAAGTCGAACCCCCCATCCTAAATGGTAAAGATGCCATATTGAAAAGAATATTCACTGCAAACATACTATGAGCTGCTTCTTGAAATTAATCTAATTCACATGAGTTAAAGGTGATACATTAATGACTACCATAAGTGGTCAGTTGGCAAGCTGTGCCTGATCCTATTGGGCTGCTGAATGTATCAATTGGGACAAAGAGTGGTGATTGATTTAAAGAGTTGTTTTCTCTGATATTATGAAAACGAGAATGTCTATGAGTCATTAGAAACTCAAAAGCTAAAACGCAACTATATTAGGAAGATTTAAGTAATACCCAGAAATTAAAGAAGGACAACCCAACAATAAAAATAAAAATGAGAAAACACTTAAGCAAGACACAAAAACAAATATCCAGTTCACCAATAGCAAATAGTAGGACAAATGAGGATGAAAAGTCTGATAGTGAACCAACAGGACTCCCTGGACCCATAGCACAGGAGGTAACAAAATTGATCAATCAGGCTCTAGAAAAATTCAAATCAGAAATAATTTCCCAGCTAGCCAGAGAGATGATGAGCAAAATAGAAGTCATGATTCGAGACTCTAGAGCAGAAACTGAGAAAAAAATAGATGAGCTCAAGACTGTGATAGAAGCCATGAAGACTCAGCATAAGAAAGACATGGAAACAATGAATGCCCAACAGAGGAAAGAAATGGAATCCATAAAACAGATTCAAACAGATATCCAGGAGATTAAAAACTCTATTGAAAGTGTACGAAACAGAATAAAAGATTGCGAAGATAGAATTTCAGATATAGAAGATAGGATAGCAGTCAGTGACCGTGAAAAAAGAGGTCTATTAAAAACAGTAAGGGATCATGAGAAATCAATCCAACAACTCCTAGACGATACAAAGAAAAATAACATAAGACTGATAGGAATTCATGAAAAAACAGGAGAAAACACAAATGATATAAAAAAGCTCTTCACAGAATTAATGACAGAAAACTTCCCAAACAGAAGGGAAGAATTAGACATACAGATAAGTGAGGCATATAGAACCCCAACTAGCCACGATCAAAAAAAATCTACACCTAGACATATAATAATCAAGATTCCAGAAATCCAACAGAAAAACAAAATACTACAAGCAGTAAGAGAAAAGAAACAAATCACATGCAAAGGGAAGCCCATTAGAATCACAGCAGACTTTTCAACACAAACCCTTAGGTCAAGGAGAGCCTGGAGTGAGGTATTCCAAGTCCTAAAAGAAAAGAATCTCCAACCTAGACTTTTGTATCCTGCAAAACTCTCTTTCAAAATAGATGGGGAAATAAAATACTTCCACGACAAAGAGCACCTGAGAAATTTCATGAACACCAAACCAGCACTGCAAGGAATTCTAAACAATATCCTAGAAAAGGACAACGAAATTCACAATAACATGAGGCCCAACAGACCAAATCAAATAGGCAAGGCAAGAAACTAAAAGGAGATGGGAGAAAAAGTAAAAAGAGTCAACAAATGGACAAAAACATGACAAGAATAAGTCAAAATATATCAGTTGTAACCATCAATGTTAATGGCCTCAATTCACCAATCAAGAGAAACAGATTGGCAGAATGGATTAAGAAGCAAAATCCAACAATATGTTGTATACAAGAAACACACCTAGTGCAAAAGGAAGTCCATAGACTGAAAGTGAAAGGATGGAAAACAATTCTCCATGCGTCAGGAGTCCAGAAAAAAGCAGGGGTAGCAATCTTATTCTCAGATAAAGTAAATTTCAAACCAAAACTCATTAAGAGAGACAAAGAAGGACACTACATCCTTGTAAAGGGAACAATTCAAGAGGAAGAGCTGACAATCATAAACATATATGCACCAAATATAAATGCCCCCAACTATATAAAACAAATATTAAGTAACATGAAAAACCAAATAAGCACTAATACAATTGTAGTGGGGGATTTAAATACCCCACTATCACAAATTGACAGATCTACTAGGCAGAAAATCAACAATGAAATAATAGAACTGAACCAAGCTTTGGAACACATGGACTTAATAGATGTTTATAGAGTATTCCACCCCCAAAAACCAGAATATACATTCTTTTCGGCTGCACATGGATCATTCTCCAAAATAGACCACATACTGGCTCACAAAACAGGTCTAAATAAATGCAAAAAAATTGAAGTCATCCCCTGTTTATTATCAGATCATAGTGCAATCAAACTAGACATCAATAGCACAAGAAACTATAGAAACTTCACAAGCACATGGAAACTGAACAACACTCTCCTAAACAATCAATGGATTACAGAGGAAATTAAAGAAGAAATTAGACAGTTTTTACAAATAAATGAGAATGCCAATACAACATACAGGAATCTTTGGGACACAATGAAAGCAGTTCTACGTGGAAAATTCATAACATTGAATGCCCACACTAGGAAAACAGAGCGGGCTCAAATAAACAACTTAACGATGAAACTTAGACTCCTAGAAAAACAAGAGCAAGAAAAACCCAAAGCTCGAACAAGAGAGGAAATTATAAAGATCCGAGCAGAAATCAATGCAATTGAAATTAAGAAAACGATACAAAAAATAAATGAAACAAAGAGCTGGTTTTTTGAAAGAATAAATAAAATTGACAAACCCTTAGCTAATCTTATCAAAAAAAGGAAAGAAAAGGCTCAGATCCATGCAATTAGGAATGAAAAAGGCGAAGTCACAACAGATCCGAAAGAAATCCAGAGGATCATGAACACCTACTTTGAGAACCTGTACTCTAATAAAATGGAAAACACAGAAGAAATGGACAGATTTCTAGATACTTATGAATTACCAAAGTTGAACGAAGAAGATAAAAACATTTTAAACACCCCAATCACAATCAGTGAAATTGAAAATGTAATTAAAAACTTACCAACAAAGAAAAGCCCAGGCCCTGATGGATTCACTGCTGAATTTTACAAGACATTTAGAGAAGAACTACTACCATTACTCTTCAAACTTTTCAATGAAATTGAAAGAGAAGCTATACTTCCAAATTCATTCCTGGAAGCAAGTATCACTCTGATTCCCAAACCAGAGAAAGATACAACCAAAAAGGAGAACTACAGACCAATCTCCTTAATGAATATAGATGCAAAAATCCTTAATAAGATACTAGCAAACAGAATACAGAGGATTATTAAGAAGATCATCCATCATGACCAAGTCGGATTTATTCCAGAGATGCAAGGGTGGTTCAACATACGAAAGTCAGTGAATGTAATACATTATATTAACAAAGTCAAGGACAAAAACCATATGATCCTCTCAATAGATGCAGAAAAAGCATTTGATAAAATTCAACACCCATTCATGATAAAAACCCTGCAAAAAATTGGAATAGATGGTCTATACCTCAATTTAATAAAGGCTATTTATGAAAAACCATCAGCCAACATCATATTGAATGGCCAAAAACTGAAAACCTTCATGTTAAAATCAGGAACAAGACAAGGATGC